TTGTAACTTCAGCAAACTTGGAAATGTTACTTTTGGTCCCTGCTCCCAAATTATTGATACGGATTGTGAATAACTGGGGTGTCAAGCACTGATTCTTGTGGCACCCTACTAGTCACTGGCTATCAACCTTTATTCCTGTTCTCTTCTGAAACCAACAAATTGTGAAACAATGCTAATATCTTACCTTGAAACCTATATGCTCTAATTGAGTTTGCCAACATCTTGTGTGGGACCTTAGAAAAATCCTTATGATAATCTAAATGCACCTGATCCACTTGTTCACCTTTATCTATTCTGCTAGTAACATTCTAAGAAAAAGGCCAACGGGTTTGTCAAGCATGCTTTCCCTTCCATGAATACATGTTGACTCTGTCCAATTGCACCACTATTTTACATGTCTCCAGTTATCACTGCCTTTATAACAAATTCCAGAGTATTTCCTTCTGTGGGCTAACAGATGGATAATTCCCTGTTTCCTCCTTAAATAGTGGAGTTACATTTTTGATCACCTAATCTGAATCTGTTCCAGCATCTGTGGAATTTTGGAAAATAGTTACCGATGCATCCACTGTCTCAAAAGGCCTTTCGGTTAACTGGGATGTAGTTAGTCAGGAACAGGGGATTTAACAACTCAGTTCCATTAATTTCTCCAGTACTTCTTACTGCCACCAATTTCTTTCAGTTCCCCATTCTTATTAATCCCTTGGTTCTCTGATATTTCTAAAAGTTACTTTGTTCTTTCCTCTGAAAGGTCAGACACAAATCTTTGTACAGTTTTTATGCCTTTTTCTTATTTTCCATGATAAATTCTCCTGTCTGTGCCTGTGATGGGCCTATATTTTGTTTGCTCATCTTTCCTTTTTTTATTCGTAGCTCTAGAAGCTTTCATACTTTGTTTATATGTTTCTCACTAGTTAATTTTCATTTATTGTTTTTCTTTTCTTTATTACATGCTTGTTCCACCCTTTTTGAATTCTAAAATGCTTCCAGTTGTCAGGCTTCTTTTATTTTTTGTTAAATTTTTAAGCCCCTTCTTTAGATCTAATACAATCTTAAACTTCTGTTGTTGACCATGGTTGGATCACTATTCCTCTTGGCTTTTTGTACCTCAAAGGAATGTGTACTTGTTCTAAACTAACTGTTCTTTAAATACTAGCCATTGTCTGTCTACTGCAATGTAGTAATAATTTAAAGTAGATACTCAATCTGTTGTAGCTGACTTGCCCTCATACTTCCACAGATTGTTTCGTTTAGATTTTGACTCGAGTTTCATATTGATTTACAGCACTTTCAAGCTTAATCTAAAATTCCTTAGTATTACAGTTACTCCTTCCTAAAGGTTCTTTTGCAACAAGATTATTAATTTCCCCTTTCTTAATGCTCAACGCTGGATCTAAAATCTGACATTATCCTATATTGTGTAATTAGTTCCTCAACATACTGTTCTAGAAAACCATCTTGTTTGGGTACATTTCAGGAATTTGTCTTCCACAGCATTAGTATGACTTAGGTGTGCTCATCCTCAACATAGATTGAAGTGCCTCATGATTACTCTGTTACTCTTTTACATTCATCTTCAATTTTCTGACTTATCCTGTGCTCTGTGTCATCGCTACTATTTCGTGGCCTGTAAGGAAGTCATACCAGAGTCTGTGGATCCTTGCTGTTTCTTATCTCCTTCTAAACTGATTCCACAGTTTTTTTTAACAGCACCACCTCACATTCCCAAATTTGGTCATCCCGCTGTCTCCATTTGGCATTTATTTCGTGCCCATATATCTCTATTTGTGCTGTCAGTTCGTTGACCTTATGTATGCTGTCTGAATTCAAATAGATTGCCTTTAATTTTGCTTTCTTAATATTTTTTCATAATTTGACACTGATGGTGGCCTATGTTTCTGCTGCCTTCCAGTTATTTAAAATGCTTATTCTTAGCACTGCCAACTTAGATTCCTTCCTAAATGAATTTCCTGCCAAGTTTCCAACCTTTGCCAAGCTTTTAGATAAGAAATTGGCTGGTTAGAGGTAGTCATTAAAGATGGAGGCTGTGTGGGGGCTGGTCATTCTTTGGGCCCTGCAAACATCAATGTTCAGCTGTTTCTCTTCACTTTGATCAATGATCTCAATGTTGCAGGCATTTCTTTTCACAGAGTACTTGTAGGCCTTTGGGTCAAATTGCAGGCTTGCCAAGTGACTATGCTTTCATAAAGGGGCTTCCAGTGTGGCATACAATGTACAAAAGGTAGCTTGGTCACAGTGTTGGTACTCTTTCACTTCCTGAATCTTGATCATTTGTGTATGTTGGCTGTGGGGATAGCACTAAGTATGAGGAGGGCTATGTCAGGACTGGGTAAGATTGAATAAACCAGCTTCTTTTTTGTTCCCTTGTTCTTTTCAAAGAGAATTGCAGTAACGGGCAATTAATACTGACTTTGTCAGTGATGCTCACAAAAGGAGGATGAATTTAAAGTTTTCAAAAATTGAAAAAATCCTAATTAATACTTGTGAGTGCAAGTGGTTAGGTTTATTGAAAGAAGTACATTTTTAATACCTAATTGACTGAGGATTTTTTTTCTGATCCTTCAGTTGGATTATAAAGGAATCGCTTCAGTTTTTTGGGTTAAGCTTAGAAGTGTAATGGCCATGGTTGTAGCTGTTTGTATGGATACAATTAATTTAAAGTACAATCAAGTATTCCTTCGAATCTCTTGGAGCAGGTATATTGAAAATGAGAAAGAAAATGTCCGAAAAGTTCCAAGAGCTAAACAGCTAAGTAGGAGCTTTTGAGCAATTTATATGAAGCAATGAATTTTAAGTAACTTGTATCTGAACTTTTTAGTTATTTTTAAGCTTGTCATTCTCTCAACATAGTCACTGGGTTGTTGCAGCATTTCCTGCAGAAGGCTTCCGTTCACCCCGCTGTAATTTTAAAGTTACCACTTAATCAGAGACGAAAACATTTGTGTAAATTTTACTCAGGCAAACAAAATCTAGCAGATTTTTAAAGTGCAGTTCAGAACACTTTTGGCCAAGGACATAGCAGCTTGTATGACCATAACACATTTGGAGCATAAACTGGTATGGAAGTGTTTGTACTTGTTTATTGGAAGGATGGGATACAATTGAGGTAGTTCAGGTTATATCTGTCTGAGTAAATCTGAACTTCTGTGAGGACAAAGAAAGTGTAAGCCTGCTTTGCTGAGTCCTTGAGCTCATGACCCACTAAGAGAAGATATGTCAGTCGCAACATATTAAGAATGCTTAATGAAACCTACAAATCTTTTTCTCATACAACAGCTTTATTACGTAAGTCATTTAAATGTCACAATGGACAATACTTGTTCCTTCTGTTATATATTTTGCAATAGAATTAGGAAGAATCCTGAGATGATTTTAAACACAGAAAGGTGCCATGATAGCTATTGTTGGAGAGAAGGCAAGTTTGTGGTTGACCTTATAAATATCAGCTGTGTGGGAAAGGATTAGCAATATAAGTAAGCTTTGTTAGTCCTTTTTTTCAAATAATGCTAAGATACGGTACTACAGATTAAAGTTAGATATAAAAAGGAAAGGTTGGAGTACTTTTTACAGAAAATAGGTATACAGAAATATAATTTAACAGCATATCCTGGAAAAGATCTGTAGTAAACTGTAGGTTTCAGACTTCCTTGTTGTTTAGGAGACTTTCCAGAGGTGTGAGACCCCCCAAAAAATCCACCGCTAGTAATGGAACTTGCAGTTAATGAGTTGACCCAACAGGAAACACTAGGTCTTAGAATTTCATGCAAAAAATAAAATCGGTATTTTTACAAAGATGCCTTGAATTTGAAGCTTGTAAATATATAACATGGTATATATTTCCTCTAGATTTGCATTTCCTCCAAGTGCTGCTTAGTGTACTTAACCAAGAATAGTTTCACTTCTGCAGACTTCTCCTGCTCCAGATAATGTTGCTTCATCCTAGGGTTTAGCTCCATGGTTGCTGTTTTACTCTGGGTCTGATGCCAAGAATGATGCTTTATCCATGGGTCTTTTTTTGTGTGTTGCCTTACCTTGAGGTCTAATTTCTCAGTTGCTGTCTCCCCCTTGGATCTTGCCCTTGGACCTTGTTCCATGGGTTCTGGAAGGTTTCAGATTCCTTGAACAAGTATCATTGTTGCATGATCCTGGGTGGTGAGTTTGCAAAGGCAGACTGCCATGGATGGTGTTGCAGTCTCTGTCATATTCAGTCTCATGCACTGTTAATGATTAACATCTACGTGTGCCCTCCAACTCCACCCCTTAACAGGCACCAAATCACACTCCACTCCATCTAAAATTGACTAACACTTTACTGAGAAGGAGTTAAATCTGAGACCTTCTGGTCCAGCTGGTTTCATACTGTATTGGATAAATGCCTTCAAATATTGATTGCTATTGGGCCCTAAAGAATAGCTTTTAAGCATTGTTTTAACTTTTTATATATGCTCATTTGGAGTTGCCTCACTATGTTTCTGACCCTGTCTTCAGTGAAGGTGTGTTGTTATACCTTTTAGAGAGCCTCCTGTTTACGGTTGCGTTTTATGTCAAGAAAAGCATGGCAAAAGAAAATCCATCTGAACTGCTGTCAGAAAGATTGTTTAGCTGACAAGGAGATAACACAGTGGGTGCTTTAATCCTTCATTACAGTTTAACCTTAAGAAGACAAATCCTGTGAATGACAGTAAACATCTGATGGGTACAGATTTGGGGATCCCGCTGTTCTGCCCTTATGGAAAGCAGTAAAATCATTTATCAGGATGAAATGATGCATGTATTGTTTGCACCAGAAGCAAAGCTCAATGTGATTATACAGGCAGGTTTTTGAATTCACAGGGGGATGTAGATAAACTCCAGTCATGCAATCACTCTGCAGTGGAATTTTCTGGCATTGAGATAATAATTTGCACAGTCAAATTACCTTCTTTGCAAACACTTGAGGAATTATGAGACCATAATCCTCCATTAATGTCAATCCACAGGCAGCACGGAAGCGCAAGATTGCCATTCTTAAAGCCCTCGGGAAAACCACTGAAGCCATCAGAGAACTGAATGAGTATCTGGAACAGTGAGTGTTTTACAAGGGGATTGAGCTATGCCCTGTGATAAACCATTTTTAATTAAAAGGGAATTTGCATTCTAATTCAAATCGCACCCCCCTCCCTTTCCCTCATACATTTGTTCAGAAAGTACCTGTTCTGTTATCTTCAGGTTTGTTGGAGACCAAGAGGCTTGGCACGAACTAGCAGAGCTTTACATCAACGAACATGAGTAAGTATGTTATCTGTTTGAAATGTGCTGTGTTTCTTTTACAGGTTACTGCGCTTCATTTTATCATTAGAGTAGACAGCATGACCTATTGAGGTTCCAAGAGGATCACAATGGTTCACAAAATGCCAAGGTCTCCTGGGGCAAGATTGAACATTGCTGTTTGTTTCGTGGAATCAGACTTTAATAGGATTTAACTGTAAGCCCTCCTCACTTGTGGGAGAAGAAAGCACTTCCATATCCTCGCCGGTGGCTATGTTGCTAGGAGAATAGGCTGTGGCGCGAGGGTGATGGAAAAATCATTTGGTTTCTGTCACATCCATGCCATATTATTGTTAAGGGATGAGAATTAGGAGTTCAGACTCTGCAGTCTGTTGTCAGGGTGAAAAAGCAGCGGGCCCAGGAATCCCAGTCATAGCACAAAAACTGTTTATTGGATATTTATGGTTTTGTTAGCTGCATTTGTTGTGGCAGTGGAAAAAGGAAATCCCAATGTGAGAGGATTAGTTTCAAGCTTAATAAGTCTTTTAATATCACAGCATTTTCCACCCCTTTCTAAAAAGCCCTTGTCATGTCTGTCACAATTTTTTCTGCTCCGACTCCTAGATTCTGTCACCTCATTCCTTCCTGTCCCATAATATAGCCAGGAAACAAGCTGTGCCAAACTCAAATATCCCTTGGATGGTGGTGAGTTAGTAAGTCGAATAGGCGTCTTCAGCATCTGTTTGGGGCAAAAAAAGAAAGGAGAAGGTTATTTCTGAATTGTAGCAGAGGGAAAAGTTGCTTACAGTTGTTTTGTCATTTTCCTTTACAATAATCTTTAAACAGTATTATTTAATACTAGGTATGATCAAAAATGCTATGTCTTTCAAAACAATTTTTTGTCAGTCATGAATGTGTTCTTTTGACAAGTTTCCCAGCAAAATAGTTGCACAAAGGTGAAGGAAATTGGAGGCCAGTATCCCCTTTCCTATGGTGCATCTGCCAAACTCTAACCATGCTATAATTGAATGTTTACCGATGATTTGTGCTGAAAACTCCATATCTTCAGGGACATCTAATGTAGTGCAGTGGATGCTGACCAATGCTTTCAACCTGGCTAAATAATTGGAAGTGAATTTTAATACTTAACAACGTTGGAACGTTCTGGACCATTTAAACCTAAGACGAACTAAACGGGATTTTAAATGTCATATCCCATATGTTTTTAAGATAGCACTGGGATTTTTGCAGAATCTCTTTGCGACTTGGATGGTGTGGAGCTGAAGAGCAGGCACACAGTCCAGCTTTTGCTCTATGGCACGTTCTCCCACGTGACTGCTCCTGGATTTTCTTTTCACTGGCATCACAGATTCATTAATGACACAGCCATGTTACTGGCATTTTTCCAGACTGGTGTGCAGTCTGACATTGCCAGGAATAAATATTTTTGCCCAAAGGCAAAACAGAATTTGACATCACACCTCTTTAGGTCAGCTGCTGCATGATTGATGTTACATAGCACCTAAAAGAAATCTGTATGGTTGTTAAAGCCTTGTCACCAAAATAAACTGAAGAATGGGAACAACATTCTTGGACTTCATAAGCTTCAGTTTAAGTATGTACAAAATCTTATGTTTGTGCAGCTGATGGCAATTTCGATTCCCATAATTTGAAACCAGATCTGAATTTTAGTGTAAATTAACTTTCAAGACCATAACGCAGTCCAAACATTGCTAGGTTTCTGTGAGATTGTGCCAACAATCCTTACATTTTGATCAACCTTCAAGAGCAAGGGGTGTAAATGTAGCCAAACCGCCTCATTATGAAACCTGAAAGGAGCAGCTAGAGTAGTTCTTTAGGTTTGAGCCCCTCCACTGATGAAAGTGCCACTGTAGGGCATGAGAAAGATCTGGCTCTGAGGAATGCCTGGTAACTGTTTAATTTTAGGGTGAAACAAGTGAAGAATATGTGACCATTTGTTAACCATGTTTGGATAATTAAATAAATTAACCTTATTAACATTCCTGGATATGAAAAATGATACTGGAATCTTTAATTTATTACTTGGCATTTGAACCCATTATTTCTGGTGGAAATGTTTCAAGCGGTAGTTTTATTTGGAAAAACTGTTTGTCTCCGCGATGATTCCCTGTTTGCAATTAGTGCTAGTGTTAACCTTATTTTGGCCTCACAGGCAGAACTTTCACAAGGGATTACTTGTAGGTCAGTGCTCTGTTGGATTTGGTCTCCTTGGAGAGACTGTAATATGTAGGGTTTTGGAAGAGAAATTAATGCAGCAATTTGTCAAGCTGTAATTTGAATAAGAGTTCATAGCATTGGGTTTCCACTGGAAAGAAAACTCCTCTACTTCCACATCCACCCACTGCACTAAAGGTCAAGGTGGAGTAGAAATGGTGCAATTTAATTGATAGACATTGCAAATCTGAAAAAAAAGGATGCCAATTGCTCACATGATGTTGAAAGTATTTTAGATTTATTTATGTTTATTTCTGAAAAGAGAAATCAATCCTGAAGGAACTGTGTTTAGTCATGTACAGATCATATATTCTGCTTATATCCGAGTACCTCAAATCCCAAACTCAGTGACCTTAATATAGGGTTACTCACCAGCTTTTGACTGAATGACATAACTCCAAGCAATAGATTACTTAATGACCTTTAATAAAGCCAATCAGTCTGCTTTTTTTTAAAGCAACAGGGTATGTATTGTTACTTACACATATTTAAACAGGAAAAAAAAATGACCAGACATCCCAAAGTTTGAAATCGTGAACACAGTTTTCATATTACAGGAGACTATGATTAAAATCATCTTTTGTAAAATTTGGTTCTTTAAACGATTCATTCGAGGGCTTGGTTGTAGACTGAGTAATTAAAGCTTCATCAACCTCAGATGATTTGAGGCACATCTGTGCAGAAAGGCACCTCCACAGCAATGGGTTATATAATTTCCTTTGCTAATTAGCATTTTAACCAAAGAGAATCTGAGACTGAAACCTTCAGTAATAGCTGAGCTTTCTAATCTGATTCCTCCTGATTGGATTCAAGCAGTAAGAGTAAGTAATTAATTAGCCTGGGAGACAATGGGAATTATTTAAGTTCCCTTAAAGACAAGTCACTGCTTGCGTAGTGTCCACATTCATTTATTCTTCTGTAGGAGGAGGAGACTGCTGGATGCAAAATAATGAAAAATGTCCACAACATGTCCCAGGCTCCAGAGAAATACATAAATATCCCCATCTGTACTTGGCATATCGAAATGTGCAAAGCTATGTTCAGACTGTTTTGAAAGTACATTTAAGCCATAGAGAGTGTAGATTCAACAGAATGATGCCAGAGGAATAGGCCATTCAACCCTTCAAACCATTGAAATCCTTGTTTAGCTGAATCATAACTCCATTTATCTGCCTTGGCTCCATTTCCTTTTTTATTACCTCGCAGAAGTCTCTTGATCTCCAATGTAAAATTGTTAATTAAGCCAGAACCTACTGTTTTTTTGTAGGAAAGAGTTCTGCACTACCACCATTTGTATTCCCCAATTTCTTTCCTGTAAATAATGGCTCTGATTTTACGATTATGTCCCCATGTCTTAAACACCCTCATCAGCTTTCTTTTTATCTATCCTGTCCTGCAGTACAGATATGTTCATTGCTGCTTCACTCATTGGGTTATAATCCTGGAATTCACTCTTAACAGCATTGTGAGTGCACCTACACACCATGTACTGCAGCAATTCAAGAAACAGTGATGGGCCTCAAGTAATAGCCTTTGAGTGATGCTGACATCCCATAAAAGAACATTTTAAAAATGTCCTGTTCCCCTTGTTCTTGATTGAGGCCGGTGTCTCCTCTAAGGTTCCTGCAGTTTGTTGCTGGTTGACCTTTACTTCAAGCACCATAGGAACTTAAACTTTTTTTCCCCCCATTTATTCTGTTGACCATTTGAAAAATTACCAGGCCAATAATGAATATTTTAATAAACTCAGTATTAATTAGAATATAAAGGAGGAGGTGCATAATTTGCAAACAGGTCACTGACTTCATTGAGTACAAAGCTGAATTTAATTAGAAGTAACTAAACGTTACAGAGCAACAGAAGGAATCATAAAGGATAATTTTATTGAATGCAAAAGTTAAATGAGGATTGCAAGCCAATATTCCAAAAGTTTCCTTAACATGTCTGGAGATCAGACAAGTAGTTAAGGGCTTGACTTTAAACTTAAGTTGTGAAATTATATTTAATTTTCTGTCCATGCTAAACCATGAGTTGATCATTAAAACATTTTTTCCTTCATCTGTTGTGGTGTGCTTTGTATGTTGTTTCTCACTGCTGCAGCTCAGTGTTTTGCAGCGTGCATGCTTTATTTCAGTTGCTCTATGCAGTAGACTGACAGGACATGTTGGAGGTGATTTAGTTGGCCAGTGGGGTGATGAAAAGATTAGCCAAATAATTGGCTTCCAGCATTCATTGACTGACTATTTCCAATGTTGAGCAGTTCATATTGTAGACTATAATGCTGTAAACGGCACTGTCCATGTTGAAATCTGAGGCAGGCAACAAATGATGAGTTTTAAAAGGTTGGTGCTTTTATCATTGCTTTGATCAGGTGAAATGAACTTACATCATGTAAAACAATCTTGTGGCTGTCATAAGTCGCAGGGACAACAAAGAACAGAAACAGGCATGACCGTTCAGGTCCTCAAAGTTGCTCTGTCATTAAACTAAAGCATGGCTGATTGCTAGCTGAGCTTCAGTAACACACTTTTACTCCATTTTCTTGCATGCCCCTAACTGATGAAAATCTATTAACTTCTCAGTTTTTAATGTTTACTTTTTTTTGAAAGAATCGAAAGGGCTTAAAGTTGTTTTAGACTGCAAATTGTAAGCTTCAGGCTTATCTCCCTTTCACTCTTAAATAGTGAGTGCGATGCAGTTTGAAGAAAACATCAAATTAGTGGTCAATGAGTGTTGTAAACAGTTGAAAGATGCTGTGCTGTTGATGATGAACATAGCACAGAACTTCTTTTAAGGCTACAGCATAACTAATTTTTCCAATATACCAGAACGTGAAGGCTAACAGTAGATTTAATTAGAGTAATGTATTGTACAAGGCAATATAGTATTGCAGCACAAAGTAGCCATTCTGTCTGTTAAGTCTGCTCAGAACACATTGCTGTTCACAATCTCAGGACATGGAAATCTTCATTATTTTTCAAGCCTTTTGAAATTTCTAAACATGTAATATAATTGGTACAGTGAATTTCAAAACCACAATTTATTTATTTGTGGAAATGTCCAGAACACAGAAAGAGCTAGCACAAACAGGTTGGAATGAGAACTAGGTTTTCAAAATGAAATGAACTCTTGTCTTTGTCTCCTTTACACAGTTACGGAAAAGCAGCATTCTGCTTAGAGGAACTTATGATGACTAACCCTCATAATCATCTGTACTGTCAACACTATGCAGAGGTAGGAGGGGAAGAGGAGCATGGAATGTCATGGAATAAATCTGATCACTTTCTGTTTGATGTTCTGTTTCACAACTTTGACAGGTATGAGAGGGATGTGTGTTAGTTGTGACTAAAATTGCACTCTTACTCTGAGTCAGAAATTTGAGAGCTCAAGTCCCACGCAAATTACTTGAGCACAACCTAGCCTGCTACTTCAGTGTAGTACTGAGGGAGCACTGTCTTTCAAAGGAGACATTGCTCCCAGAGTGTGTATGTGCTCTGAAGTGAGTGTCAAAGATCCTATGGCAACAAGCACAGAGAATGCTGAGAAACTTAACAGGTCTGGCAGCATCTGTGAAGAGAGAAACAATTAATATTTGAAGTCCAGAATGATCTTCAGAACTGAAAGATGTTGGAAATTAAACTTTTAACAGAGACAGAGGAGGGTCAGAAGGAGCAGATGGTGTTGCCTAGCGCAAGAGACAAAGGGGTTGATAATAATGGTGAAGGAGAAAAAGAGATATAAAATGGATATAAATTAATATTTGAAAGGAAGAGAATGGGTCCTCGTGACTACTGAGTGAGGGAGTTCTGCACATTGTTCTGGCCAATATTTGTCCCTCAAACAACATCTCAAAACATAGATTATATGGTCAAGGTCACATTGATGTTTACTGGAGCTTGCAGTGTATAAATTAGCTCTTTTCTGTCCTGTACTACAACATTATAATTGTAATGAGCATTAGGATATCCTGATGTCATGAATGGTGTTATAGCGATACAATGTTTTTTCCCCAATGGAAAGAAAGACTGGCTTGCATTTATAAAGTGCTTTTCGTGATCTCAGGACATCCTATGATGCTTTGCAGCCAGTTATGAACTTCTGGAATGCAATCACTACTATAATGTAGGAAATGCTAAAGGAAATTTGCACTTAACAAAACTCCTACAAACAGCAATGTGGTAATAACCAGTTAACATTTTTGTGGAGTTTTGATACACACAAGTCGCCTGCCACATTTAACCATTAGAGCTTGCTGGTAACATGAAACTCAGAAATGAAATAAACAATGAGTACGATAGTAACTAACTTCAGGAAGACACAAAAATAGTAATTCTGGAAATAGTCATGGCCTGGGTGCATTTATGGAGAGAGAAACATGTTTCATGTTGATGATCTTTCATCAGAATTAGAAAACTTTAAAGATGAAGTATCACATTGATGGTATGCTTTTTCTTTCTGTGGTTGTATCAAAATATGCATCTTATGCTGTGCTTTTGTGAGGCTATAGTTATATGAATTGTTGGGTTGAGAAAGTAGCCAACTCATAACATGCAAGACAAAGAAAGAAACACTAAGACTGAGTAAGAAAAAAATAGAAAACCTATTCAACTCTTGGCAGTAACATCCATACTTTTGATTAGATAGTCATTACTAATTCCAATAATGGTGAATTAAGGAGAAATTTCTTCAGACAGTGGCGTGATTGCAATATGGAACTTGTTACCATGTGGACTAGTTAAGAGGAAGTTAGCTAAACATACACAAGAGAACGTGACAGAAAGTTGTATGCATAAAGTGAGATGAAGTAAGATGGAAAGAAGTGTAAAACAAAAACTCTGTGTATGAAATCAGTCTTGTAAACCTCTGTGTCTTACAGGTGAAATATACTCAAGGTGGACTGGAAAACCTAGAAATCTCCAGGAAGTATTTTTCCCAGTCCCTGAAACTAAACAACAGAAACATGCGTGCTTTGTTTGGGCTTTACATGGTAAGCTGGAGCACATTGAGAGAATCTCTGCCAGTAATGTCATGTAGTAACTCACGGGAGAAGTTAGATCACTATTTATTTATGACCACAGTAACTATGACTCAAGGATAATAGCGATGCAGTACAGCAGGAGCTATTTGACCCATCATATCTGTGCTAGCTCTTAGCGCAGGCTATCTGATTAGTTCCATTCCCCAATTCTTTCTCCAAAGCTGCGCAATGTTTTTCTTTTCCTTTTTCAACTAATTGCTGAATTTTGGGAGTTACTGTTGAATTGCTTCCATCACCCTTTCAGGCAGTTAATCCCAAACCATAATGATTTGTTGTGTACAGAAAAAAAAAAAATCTCCTTTTGACTCAAATCTGTGTCCTGTAGTTAGCAAATCCCTGCTGATGATAACATTTGCTAAGAACTCATAATTTTGCACATGTTAAATTCCCTTAGATCAGCTCAGGTAATGAGAAGATTAAAGGTTTTGGAGTAGATTTGTAACTTGGGTTGTGTGTTGAGGTTGGTTGGCTCGCCAACCTGGTTTCTGGTGTTGCAGATGTTTCGTTACCATGCTGGTAACCTCCTCAGTGCAGCCTCCGATGAAGCGTCTGTGTGTTTTCCTGCCTGGTTTTTAAACTCTGGAGTCCGTTGAGCTGGATTGCCTCACTTCCGGTTTTCCTTCGTAGTGGAATGTATACGGAGTCGAGTTCAATGTGTTTATTAATAGCATGCTTCGTGGAGTGCCAGGCTTCCAGGAATTCTCGTGCTTGTCTCTGCCTAACTTGTCCCAGGATTTTGGTGTTGTCCCTGTCGAAATGGTGGTTCTCCTTGTCCATGTGGATTGAGATGAGTGAGTATTGGTCGTGCCTTTTTTGTAGCCAGTTGGTGTTCATGTACCCTTGTTGTTAGTTTCCTTCCTGTTTGTCCGATGTAGTGTTTCTTGCAGTCTCTGCAGGGGATCTTGTAGATGACATCGGTCCTGTCCATGGCGGGGAGCGGGTCTTTAGTTGAGGTGAGCACTTGTTGTAGGATTGACGTGGGCTTGTGTGCCATTCTGATGCCCAGCGGTCGTAGGAGTCTTGTGGTGAGTTCCATTGTGTTCCTGATGTAGGGTAGTGTGATGAGTGTGTCGGGGCGTGTAGAATCTTTCTGATGTTGTTCGTGTAGGCACCTTCTGACCCAGTTCTTTGGATATCCATTATCCCTGAAAACCTGGAAGAGGTTCTCGGGGAGACGTCAGAGGTAGGTTCTTTACTCAGAGAGTGGTAGGGGTGTGGAATGCATTGCCGGAGAGGGTAGTGGAGTCGGCCTCATTAGGGGCATTTAAGCGGCTATTAGATAGGCATATGGATGATAAACATATGGATGATAATGGAATAGTGTAGGTTAGATGGGCTTCAGATTGGTTTCACAGGTCAGCGCAACATCGAGGGCCGAAGGGCCTGTACTGCGCTGTAAGGTTCTATGTTCTAGTATAAGGTAGCGGTGGAGGTTAGATAGACCTTAGGTTTCGGCTAAAAGTTCGGCACAACATCGTGGGCTGAAGGACCTGTACTGTGCTGTACTGTTCTATGTTCTATGTATTCTTCTTCCTCTTGGTGTAGTTCTGTGTTGCTGTAGTGTGTTGTTGCCCTTTTAAACAGTGTTCGCACACAACTTCGCTTGTGTGCGCTGGGATGGTTACTGTTGAAATTCAGTACCTGGTCTGTGTGTGTGGCTTTTTTGTGTACTTTCATTTGCAGTTTCCCATTTGTCTTGCGCTCTACCAGGAATGGGAGCTGTTTGTTCTTCTCTTCCTCTCTGGTGAATTTTATTCCGATGAGGGTGTTGTTTATAAGTTTGTGTGCTTCCTCTAATTTGGTCCGTTTAATGATGACAAAGGTGTTGTCTACGTAGCGTGTCCATAGTTTTGGTTGGATTTGCGGAAGGGCCGTCCTTTCTAGTCTTTGCGTCACTGCCTCTGCTATGAGTCCGGAGATAGGCGATCCCATGTGTGTCCCGTTGATTTGCTCATACGTTTAGCCGTTGAGGGTGAAGTGGGTGGTGAGGCATAGATCCAATAGTTTGAGCATGTTGTCTTTGGAGATGGTTTCACTGGGGTCTTGTTCTTGTTCCATTAGTGTTGTCACTGTTTCCCTTGCTAGTCTATTGATGTAAATAGGGCAGTGACATCAAACGATATCATGGTCTCTTCATCGTCTATCCTTATGTCTTTGATGGAGTTGAGGAATTCTTGGGCTGAGTGGATAGAGTGGGGTGACTTGTTGACTAGGTGCCTGAGTCTCCTTCGTAGTTCCTTGGCTAATCTGTGTGATGGAGTGCCTGATAGGGAGACTATGGGTCTAAGGGGGACTTCCAGCTTGTGCACTTTAGGGAGGCCGTAGAATCGTAGAGTGTGTTGGTTCCTTCGGGTTTCATTCTTAAGAAGTCTGCTTTGTTGATCTGTCCTGGTTGTTTAAGTCTATTTAGCATGTAGAGTATTTTGTTGCCTAGTTGCGGTGTCAGGTCAGTTTGTACTGGCCGGTATGTGTTCTCGTCGGTGAGCACTCCTGGCGCTCCACGAAGCATGCTATTAATAAACACATTGAACTCGACCCCATATACATTCCACTACGAAGGAAAACCGGAAGTGAGGCAATCCAGCTGAACGGACTCCAGAGTTTAAAAACCAGGCAGGAGAACACACCGACGCTTCATCAGGGGCTGCACTGAGGATGTTACCAAGCATGGTAACGAAACGTCTGTGACACAAGAAACCAGCTTGGCGAGCCAACCAACCTCAACACACAACCGGAGCTACAGATCTACTGCAAAACCTTAGAGACCTACGTGCGCAACACGCTCAAACTGGCAAGGAAATGGGAAAATTACACCAAACAAGAGAGCACAACCCGCGAACAACTCTACTTCCTACAGGGATGCCTCAGGTACCAGGTATTACCATGCACGTGAAGTACAAACCACCAATCACTAACCCACAAGCCCGGAAAACAGCAGAACAAAACAGCTGCAAGATGGTAAGGGTAATGATAAACGACGCACACAACCGGCTCCACAAATACAACAGAGAAATTACGCGCCAAAAAATGAGGTCAGGAGGAACTTCTTCACCCAAAGGGTTGTGAATCTGTGGAATTCCCTGCCCAGTGAAGCGGTTGAAGCTACCTTGCTGAATGTTTTTAAGGCAAGGCTAGATAAATTTTTGAACAGTAAAGGAAGTAAGGGTTATGGTGAGCGGGCGGGTAAGTGGACCTGAGTCTCAAAAAGATCAGCCATGATCTTATTGAATGGCAAGGCAGTTTCGAGGGGCCAGATGGCCTACTCCAGTTCCTATTCTTATGTTCTTATTCCTGGAAGCTACCAATCAAGACTGGACAACAGACATGGAACGAGCCATCCACATTTGCCGACAGACCACAAGAGCCAAGAAAAGACAGACCCTTCAAGACAAGCTAACCACACTTACCCACAAAAACAACAACAACAGAACTGACACATGGATAAGGAACCTCTCCGACAGGAAACTGACAGACACAGAAAAAGCCGTTCTCACCTGAGGACTGAACTACAACTACAGGGACGCCAACAAAATGGAATGGCTAGCTAAACTGGAAGCCACGCTAAAGACCAACAATATCAATGAAGAAACACAACAAACTATAAGACAGACAGTAATCCCGACACTAACCAGAAGGAGCGAACTCAGCAGCCTCAACATACGGGAAAGACAGACCCTGGATGGATTAAAGAAGGACAAAAACGTCACAATACTACCCACAGACAAAGGGCGCATGACAGTGATACTGAATAAAAGGGACTACATCTCCAAGGCACAAGCACTGCTCGCCGACGCAAGCACATACGGACCAGTACAGACTGAACCGACACCGCAACTAGGCAACAAAATCCTCTATACGATAAAAAGACTTAAACAAACAGGACAGATCAACAAAGCAGACTTCTTAAGAATGAAACCCGAAGGAACCAACACACCCCGATTCTACGGCCTCCCAAAAGTGCACAAGCTGGAAGTCCCCCTTAGACCCATAGTCTCACTACCAGGCACTCCATCACACAGATTAGCCAAGGAACTACAAAGGAGATTCAGGCACCTAGTCAACAAGTCACCCCACTCTATCCACCCAGCCCAAGAATTCCTCAACTCCATCAAAGACATTAGGATAGACGACGAAGAGACCATGATATCGTTTAACGTTACTGCCCTATTTACGTCAATAGACATACCATTAGCAAGGGAAACAATGACAACACTACTGAAACAAAATCAAGACCCCAGTGAAACCATCTCCAAAGACAACATGCTCAAACTATTGGACCTATGCCTCACCACCCACTTCACTTTCAATGGCCAAACATACGAGCAAATCAACGGGTCACCCATGGGATCGCCTATCTCCGGACTCATAGCAGAGGCAGTGATGCAAAGACTAGAAAGGACAGGCCTTCCGCAAATCCAACCAAAAGTATGGATGCGCTATGTGGACGAAAACTTTGTCATCATTAAATGGACCAAATTGGAGGAAACACACAAACTTATAAACAACACCCTCACCAGAATAAAATTCACCAGAGCGGAAGAGAAGAACAAACAGCTCCCATTCCTGTACGTCATGGTAGAGCGCAAGACAAATGGGGGACTGCAAATGGAAGTACACAGAAAAGCCGCACACATAGACCAGGTACTGAACTTCAACAGTATCCATCCCAGCACACACAAACGAAGCTACGTGCGAACATTGTTTAAAAGGGCAACAACACACTGCAGCAACGCGGAACTACGCCAAGCGGAAGAAGAATACCTCTTCCAGGTTTTCAGGGATAATGGATATCCAAAGAACTGGGTCAGAAGATGCATACACGAATAACATCAGGAAGATACTACACGCCCCGACACACTCATCACACTACCCTACATCAGGAACACATCGGAACTCACCACAAGACTCCTACGACCGCTGGGCATCAGAGTGGCACACAAGCCCACATCAGCCTTACGACAACTGCTCACCCGAACTAAAGGCCCACTCCCCGCCATGGACAGGACCAATATCATCTACAAGATCCCCTGCAGAGACTGCGAGAAACACTACATCGGACAAACAGGAAGGAAACTAACAACAAGGGTACATGAACACCAACTGGCTACAAAAAAGACACGACCAATACTCACTCATCTCAATCCACATGGACAAGGAGAACAACCATTTCGGCTGGGACAACACCAAAATCCTGGGACAAGTTAGGCAGAGACAAGCACGAGAATTCCTAGAAGCCTGGCACTCCACGAAGCATGCTATTAATAAACACATTGAAGTCGACCCCATAAATATTCCACTACGAAGGAAAACCGGAAGTGAGGCAATCCAGTTCAGCGGACTTTAGAGTTTAAAAACCAGGTGGGAAAACACACCAACGCTTCGTCGAAGGCTGCATTGAGGATGTTACCCAGCGTGGTAACGAAACGTATGCAACACACAAAACCAGCTCGGCGAGCCAACCAGCCTCAATACCTGAGCTGATGTGCCACCTTCATTTATTTCTCAAGACTAATGCACATTTTCTTTTCATTAAACTGATGCTGTTCTACGTAGTAGATTCTTTATGCTGTAATTTTATATTATTTCTATTTGCCAGTGAAAACTTTAGATACTCAAAGGCAAAATCCATGCAATTTCTTGTCTTGTTCTAAGGTGTACCCTACTATAGTGAGAACGGAAAATATTATTTTGTCTAGTTAACACCACATCAGAAGTTGAATTTTTTTCTTTGCATTTTACTTTGCAGTCTGCAAGTCATATTGCATCTAACCCTAAAGCTAATGCTAAAATGAAAAAGGACAACATGAAGTATGCAACTTGGGCAGCTACACAGATCAACAAAGCTTATCAAGTGAGTAAGAAAATAGCATTGCACACAAATTGTATAAGGTTTATTCCCAGTTTCGTTTTCAGTGAACTTAGTTGAGATGATGGTTAACCAGCGAAAGAACAACTTTGAACATGGTGGGCTGTGTGCAAGTGAGGTGTTGAAAGGACATTGTCCTGCATAATGTGCTAGTGCATAGTTTGGTTTCAGGATGTAGCATGGTATGTGAGAAATTGTTCCGAGAGTTGTGTAAGGGCTCCCCCAGTACAGTGTCCAGAAATGACAAGTTTGGACACTTCTACATCCCTTAACAAGCAATGAATGTCTGGATGTCCAGAAAGTGCACGGTCAGTGTCTTTTCAATGAAGCATTGAAGTATCAGTGGTTTGCAGTATTTCAATAGGGCCTTAGTTGTTTACATGAAACAAAGAACTGCGAATGCTGAAGATCTGAAACACAAACAGAAATTGCTGGAGAAACACAGCTGGTCTGTGGAGAAAAATCAAGAGTTAATGTTTCGAGACCAGTGACCCTTCAGAACTGACACTTCTTCTTCTGAAGTGTTCAGAACCTGTCCTGAAGAATGGTTTTCCGTTGTTTACAGTTGAGTGTTGAGATCTGTTTACAACAATTTAGAAAACCTGTATTCCTGCTAAATTCTTCAGCTTTGTTGGGATGGCTAGGCATTCTGCATCACGCTGCTATGTGTGGTTGCTGGAAATGTCAATCTATTAGCAAACTTTTTCAAAATATGTGTTGTCACTGCTTTTTACGCAAATGAGATAAGAACCCATACTTTAGAGGTTAATCCACATCTGAGTACAAATTATGACATTTCATGAACGCACTAATAAACAGCCTAGTTTTTTGTGTCAGTGGCATCTGTTTTTGCGATTTAGTTTTATTCATATGTATTTCTGAATTTTATCCTCAGACCCCAAATCGCACTTATGAACCTGTGAACATTTGTTTAAGCCTGTGTTATTGGCAAGCTTGATAGACTAATCAGCATTTAATTTCTAAACACTCAATTCCACTTTTAAAATGAACTGCCACTGTTTTCTGCAAATAATACAAAAGAACAGCTGTTCAAATAGAACTGCAGTTGTCATGGCCAGATTTACTAGATAGTTTGCATCTATTTCACAACTTGCATGTTCGTACTTGACTTTACAACCTCTCAAGAGTTAGCAGGTCCAGTATGATAACCACTAGATTGCTGTTCACAAAAATGCTTGAAAGAAGAGTTACTGAAAAGAGAAGGTTCAGTTCATGCTAATGTGTTGACATTAGATGCTCTCATTAAACTCTTAACTTGTGGGTTTAATTTGTGACTTGGGTTGTACCTTCAGTTGTGAAGAATGTATTACAATTTCGATTTCATTTTGACAGTTCTTTCAGAAATTAGATATGGTCTGAGATAATAGGAACTGCCGATGCTGGAGAATCTGAGACAACTAGGTGTAGAGCTGGATGAACACAGCAGGCCAAGCAGCATCAGAGGAGCAGGAAAGCTGACGTTTCGGTTCGAGACCCTTCTTCA